TTCACTCATGGACTCAATTGACTGTGAAGAAGAGCCTCTAATAAACAGGTCTTCAAAAGAAGGTTCATATTCTGTAGTCCCTGAGCACAGTGATTGAGGTGAACACGATCCACGTCCTAATACTGGCAAAGCAATCTGTGAGAATAACACACTGAATTGAGGTACAGGTGAGTCAGAGGACAATGGTATACCGCCAGATATTATAGACTGGGGAGAGTCAGGTCTTTTTTCTGAATTAAGGTAAGTTTGATAAAGTGTATTTTCGTCATCCATACAGTCCAATTCTGGGGAAGTTGGACAGGAGCCTCTCTCTGGCATGATAAGTGATTGACTGGGTAGTGTAAAGTCTGGAAAAGGTGAATCAGGGGACAGTGTTCTGTTTTCATCAATCGATGCAATTGACTCCCAAGAGGATCTTCTAAGATCAATGACCAAGTCATCAAATACATCGGTCTGCATATGTATTTCTGACAGTACTGATTCAGGGGATAGCGATGTGTAACCTGTTACCATTGTTGGTTCAAAATGAAAGGTATAATATTGTGATACTGGAGAATCTGGGGATAATGATCTAAAGTCAGGTCTTTCATCATTTATAGATTCTGTTGATTCTGGATAAGAATCTAGGGTGAAAACATTTAATTCCCATTCCTCATCTGATAATGTTTCTGGAGAGGTTGGTTGGGAAACTGAAAGTGCCATTATAAATATGTGTGTGGCCACTTTGAACTGAGGAAAAGGTGAATCAGGGGACAGAGGTCTGTTTTCATTAAGTGATGTGAATGACTCTGATGAGGACCTTCTAAGGTCAATCACCAAGTCATCAAATACATCTGTCTGCATATCTATTTCTGATAGTATTGATTCAGGGGATAGTGATAAGTTGTAACCATTGTTGGTTCAAATTGACAGGTATATACTGAGATATTGAAGAATCAGGAGACAGAGATTGAAAGTCAGACCTTTCATCATTTATAGATTCTGTTGATTCTGGAGAAGAATTTAGGTTGAAAACATTTAATTCACATTCTGCATCTGATAATGCAGATTCAGGAGATGAGGACCTATATTCTGTAACAGAAACTGATTCAAAGACTGCTGGAAAATACTGGGGTGTAGGTGAGTCTGGAGATAGGGGTCTACATTCATTCATGGACCCATTTGACTCTGCAGAAGTCCCTCTAATGTATTTCAAAAGCATGGCAGAGTCAGGTGACATGGGTCTCCATTCAGGCAAGGAGTCTGGAGAATATGGTTTTTTGTCAGTATCTGATAAAATTGAATCGGGGGAATCTGGTCGATTTTCTATTGTTAACAAATCTTCAAGGTAAGGTTCATATTCTGTATTCTCTGAGCACAGTGACTGAGGTGAACATGATCTAGGTCCTGTTACTGGCAAAGTACTCTGAGGGAATAATGTCATGAATTGAGGTACAGGTGAGTCATGGGACAGTGGTCTAATCTCAATCTCTGATATTATAGACTGAGGAGAATCAAATCTTTGCTCTGAATTAAGGTCGGACTGACAAACTGTATTTTCAACATCCAAAGTGACTGTTTCTGGAGAGGTTGGTCGAGATCCTGTAAGTGGCATGATAACTGGGTATGTGGCCACTTTGAAGTGAGGAATAGGTGAATCAGGGGACAGAGGTCTGTTTTCATTGTGATGTTACGGACTCCGATGAGGACCTTCTAAAATTAATCATCATGTCATCAAATAAACCGTTCTGTATACCTGTCTGTCACTATTGATTCAGGGGGTGAGGATCTGTAAAAAGGTGTAAGTGAGCATAATATTGAGGTATTGGAGAATCTGGTGCAGATATTGGTAAATCAGGGGAAAGAGGTCTGTGTTCATCAAATGATTCTGGAGAAGCCACTGGATTAAAAATATATACATGTTCCTGTTCTGTCAATGCAGATTCAGGGGATGAGGAATTACAATCCTTTAAAGGAATTGTTTCAAAGGCTGTGAAATATTGTGGCAATGGTGAGTCTGGTGAGAGCAATCTAAACTCGTTCAGTGAGGTGTCTGATGCTGGTGTGAATGCCCTGAAACAATTTTCTACAGTAAACAGGTCTTCAAAGTAAGTTTCATATTCTGTATTCTCTGAGCACAATGAATGATGATCATGATCTATGACTGGTTACTGAAAAGGTACTCTGAGAGAGAAATCCACTGAATTCAGTTACAGGTGAGTCAGGTGATAGTGGCCTGAACTCATTAATTGATGATACTGATTCAGGAGACAAGGGTCTACACTCAGTTGCTTCAAGAGTGTCATCAAGCACAAGTGATTCTGGGGATATCGGTCTAAATTGATGATGTGACGAAAGGGGTTTGTGTTGACATTGGAAAATTGCTGGACTTTCAAAATTCAGTTGAAACTGAGGTAAATCCTGACTATTCACTGTACACTTGACAGGTAGGTTTTGTTCAAAAGAATCGTGAATTTTGGATTCTGTAGTGGGTGGGTGTATTTCTTGTGGACTATATAAAGTTGTTGAAACATCTCCAGTGTTGTTCAAAACAACAAGCCTAGAGCAGTCTTTGTAGTGTGGATCAAATATTTTGGCAATACGATTGCTAAGCATAGTTTTAGACATAAAAGTATACTTTGGTTTTGGCAATTCACTCACACTTTGTTCCTCATTGTATAGTGATTTAGTACTCAGTAGTTAATATTTGAGTGTATTTTTTTTCTATTGGCTCACCTTCCAAATTAACACTTTCTACTATAACCGTGGACAAAGGAACATATTCAGCCTCTAAAATTACTGATTCTGGAGTTTGCGATCTTGGTTCACAGATCAAAGGCTCAGAATGCAAATATTCAATATCAGATGTTTCTAATTCAGGAGACGAGTCTCTTTGGCTCCCAAACTGGATTACATTAAAGTGTAATGTGGTTCTATATACAGGCACAGGTGAATCAGGTGAAAGGAGTATGTGTTCATTTATCAATGTAAATGATTCAGGAGATACTGATATTGGTTTGTTTTCATTATCTGAGAGGCCTGACTCAAATGAATGAGATCAATACAGTTTAGAAGGTATGAAACTTTTCCCACTTTTGAGTAAAGCTGGGAAGAGGAGAATCAGGGGAAAGGCATCTCTGGTTATTGAGAGATGCAGTTGATTCAGGTGATGATGGTCGACTTCCAGCTAGACACTCTAATGATATCAGATCACAGTCTATGTCTGAGATTTCAGATTTTAGTGATGGTGAACTGTATACTGTCATGAGTACTGAAGAGTCATTTTGCACTTCTGTTGCAAAACAAGGAATTGGGGGATCCGGGGGAAGTACTCTATATTCATTTACAGGTGCTGTTGATTCTGGAGATGATGGTCTTAATTCAGTCAAAATTGCATAAGGAGATGGAGTATAGTTTTCAAAACTTTTTTCGGTGGAGTGTTCGCTATCAAAAATGTCAGAACTGATAGACATAGGAGACCTAGATCTATTTGATTCAGGTGATAATGATCAGTAGAAAATCACAGAACCAGGTGAAATAGGTCTTTCTGTGTCATCAGTCACTTCAAAATAATATGCTCCGAGTGAATTGTCTGAATATCCTGTAAGATGGACCGTTTTTTCACCAGAAGCATGTAATGTTTTGTGTTCTTCAACATGTATTGTTAATTCAGGTGTGTCATTTTCAAAAGTTGGCAAAGGTGTAGCTGGCCTAAAATCAGGCAATGGCGAGTCAACAGAGAGGAGAGTGCAGTCATTCACTGAAGTTACAGATTCAGGTGAAGATACTCTTAATTCAGCCATTAATATGCATGAGTCTGGTGAAGACGGTCTATATCCAAATGGTACTGGTGAGTCTAAAGGCAAAGAATCCACTGATTCTGGTGATGATCTATATTCAGATGAAGTCATTCCAAGGTTATCAAAATATTCAAACTCTATATCTGGTGACAAAGATCTTAGCTCAACTTGGGATGTTAAAGATACAGGTGTAAGAGGTCTACTCTCCGTAACTTCAGCTGATGTTGAGGTGGTATATTCAGTTTTTGTGCATTCAGCATCTGTTGGTTTGGTTAGAGTAATTGGTATGGCTACTTCAACCCTTGCTTCTGAAGAACCAGAATCAGTTATTGGAAGTGGTAATATATGTGGCTGCTCAGTAACTGAATCAAGTGACATTTGATTGAGCAAAGAAGGGGTAATCTTCTCTGTAATGCCTGTTCCACTTACAAGTGCAACAGACATGCTAGGTTGTTGAAGAGGACTGGAAATTATTTGAGTTATTCTTTGTGTTCCTTCAGTGGACAATTCTGTGCTTACAAACTGATTAACATCAATATCTTTGGAAACATCTGAAGATTCTTGTACACAGACAGGAATGATGTTACAATTCCCTTCATCCACAGAAGAAATCTCATTTTCGTGGAACATATAAGTCTCTACAATTACACTCATTTTACATAACTCAGGTGAGACATAACCTTCACCAAAAAGGGTTCTATAGAATCTGTCAGAAACTTCCTCAACGTGGCGCTGTATATAATCCTCACTCTCACTTGGTTTCTTTGGAAGTGCAGCCTCATATTTATTCGGTGAGGCAGATGCAATTTCTTTATTTACATTTGATGGGGATGTAAAGAAATGTATTGCACTGGAAACAGGTGAGGTAATATAATCTTCAGAATTTAGCTTGAGTTCCACAGACAACTCATCGAAATCTGCCTCGGCATTCTCAGATTCCAACAGGGTGTGCCTAAAATCTGACAGGGTTGTTTGTCTCTTTCTCAGCTTGTACCCTTCCATTGAATTAATGGCTGGAACAATCTGTTCATCATCCTGTTGGGTGGAGGCTGGGATATATTGACCCCTAGTTGCTCCTAACACTTGGAGAGGATCTTTCACAGTTTCATGTGTATTGTTTGATGATTCTTTGGAAACAGTACCACCTTTGTAAACTGGGCTATAAACGTGAGACTGCAGTCTCCAGGGAACAACATTGTACAGGTTAAAGAAGGGACTTACTTTTTTGATAGTGCCTGGGAACTGTTGCCTCAGTCCAACCATATCAAAGGAACTATGTGCTGAGGCTCCGACCACTCTGACAAATAGAGAATCAAATTTAAATAACTTATTACAGTGTATTATTAATACATTTTTAATGGTATAGGTCAGGAATAGAATTAACTTACTCTGAACCCATCTCTTTGTCTGTCAGCAACCTCTCTTTCTTGGAATCATCAAAGGAAGATACATTGCAGGAGAGATCCTCGACAGATGCCACCAGAGGTCCAAGTTCTGATCCTTTTTGTGTGACTTCTGCTCGCCGACCTGGCCTGGGACTGTCCATGTCCTCCTGTAGGGCTGAAAAACCTGCAAAGCCAACATAGTTTCTGTTGAGATGTTGTAAAATCATTGTAAAAGTTCAGCGATTCATCATCTTCTGGAAAAGTGATGAATAATAATGTGACTTTCTATATTAAAAAACACCAACCTAATAAGTTTCAAGTTATTATCATCCATACCTTCACTATGATCCAATGATATGGTTTGCTCAATTTCTGCATAGGTGTGTGATGACTGGTCTTGACTGGACTGGATGATTTTTGTTTCGATGAGATTAACAATGTCCATACGATTTATTTTTGTAAGTGTCCTCATCAAAGTGTTCTCTGCTGATAAGTGGAGAGATTATGTTATGTATATTTTTGTCTACTAGAATGCAACAGACAACCAGACAATGTGAGTGATCCTCTTTCTTTGGCAGAACCCGCAGCCACAATGCCATAATTTGTTTCCTTTTACTATGTACATAACACTGGGCATCACAACACTGCCCCAAGTCAAAAGAGCCCAGTGTCTCTATGATGTTCTGGTGGTAAGATATGGCTATTTTATGTTACATGTCTGCTTGTAATTTTTCACCCAATTTTTCGACTGAATATTATATGCCTGAATACTTAAAAAAGTAATATCTCATTTAGTCAATCAATTTACAACAATGGCGAGTTAAAGGGATAATTCACCCAAAATGAAAATTCTATCATTAATTACTCACCCACGTCATTCCAAACCCATAAGACCTTCATTCATCTTCGGAACACAAATTGAGGTATTTTTTTATGAAATCCGAGAGCTTTCTGACCCTGCATAGACAGTAATGCAACTGAAACGTTCCCAGGCCCAGAAACGTAGTAAGTACATCTATAAAATAGTCAATGTGACATCAGTGGTTCAACCGTAATTTGGAATGACATGAGGGTGAGTAATTAATGATAGAATTTTCATTTTGGGGTGAACTATCCCTTTAAGTGCCAAAATGAAGAAGAAATAAATAATCAAAGCTGCACTACAGAACACTGGCCTCTCTATTTCCATGAAATTGAAACAAAGTTGCATGTTATTTGCAGAGTATTTCTTTTACATCAGTTGTTTTTTGGCACTTCTGTACAGCGTGGATGAATATGATGTTTACCCCATGGTTACTGGTGATCACCATATAAGAGCAGATTTGTCATGCTGCACCAAGACAATAATAAGATATTTCGACTAAGTCTTTATCAGAAAAAAAAAATCTGAGCAGGTAAATATCATATCTGCCACTGTGGTTCGGATCTTGTTTTGTCACAGGCTCTGTCACTTTCCCTTTTTGATTGCAGACTCACTGAGTTTGATGTTTTGATAATTCCACAGAGGTCAGCAAGGGTTGCTGTTTAGAACAGTCCATATTCATCACCAAATAGCTGATTAGTTCAAATTCTATGCAACAGTGCTGTTTTGGACACTGTTTTTATGTACTTGCTCAAAAATTGAATTTTTTTTAACCAAACATTTTCAATGATGCATTTTTTAAAATATAATTGTAGAAAGTTTATTGAATTCTATCTGTGAAGCAGTTGCTGCTGAATTAATTACAGAAAAGTGGTTTCAGAAGGGTGCTGCACATTTGTGGTGGCTGAGCGGAAAACTTAAAATAATTATTTAAATTAACTGATCTCAGATTTAATAATGTTTGCTATCTGCAATGCAAATTTAAATACAAACTAACGGAAAACCCATAATCAGTAGTCTTACCTGTAGTATTTTTGCCCTCCCTTACTTTCCATAGCCTTATGAGGGCATGGCTTTGGTCTTGTAGAGAATTTGGATTCTCATTTCTTAGCTGATTGATCTGTACCTCACTGAATTCAAGCTCTCGAGCGAATTCTGCTTGAACAAAAACACATTGGTAATAAATCATGCATTTAATTCAGATCAACAAAGTATACTTATGAAACAAAGTGTCCTTATGACTGTAAGGCAGTATATGTGCTGAAATAAAGTTTACAAAAATAAAAAGTAGTGATGACAATTATTGCAAACAAATACAAACATAACGTAAAAGTATCCCAACCTCTTAAACATTTCTACAATTTTAACCACAATATATTTTCCAGTATTGCTGGGTCACTCTTAAACTGTATGATTAGAGTTCTGTGAGTATGTGAGTATAGAGCAGTGGTTCCCAAACATTTTGAAACCAAGGTACCTGTTTAAAGTTCATATTAATACTTTCTGTATAATTCTGTATACTTACTGTATTGCTCTGTCAAAATCTAAGCTCTCTGCTCACAAGTCACTGTAAATGAATTAACGTAATGACAAAATTTCTGTAAGCTGGTTAATTGATATTCAAAAAAGCTGCTTACCTGACCAGCTGAAACCAAGGTGGTCTGCTATTACAGCCAGGCAACCCTCTTTCCTGTCAGCCTCATCCTGTGGATCTACTGCAAATTCCAGCAAAGCAGCAAGACCCACATAAGCACACAGATCTAATACTGGAAGTTTTTTTTTTTTTTTTTTT